TCACCTTGAATACCACTTGCAGTGCATGTAATACAAAACATGACATATATAATCGGCATTTTGATAAGATCGAAAATCATTAAAATTGGTTTTGAGTAACGCATTTAAACTTTTGACAGACGTTTGGTTTGGGGAAAAACTCAGTTATATATATATATATAAAAAAAGACTTCAACAAACAAAATAATTATATTCAAACCACGCAGTATCGAATTCGGTTTATAACAAATGAACCATTTAATCCTGTCAAATTTCCTGTCCATTTCATGTAATGCTATTTTCTTCAAATATACTGTTGCATATATAATGATATTATACTATTCAAATTTTGTACTCAAATACTGTTTTTTCAAATGAAAATCGGATGCATCGAACTTGCATATCATACTTACATATCTGAATATATAATGATAAATTAAAAAAGGGTACGCTGTTAGAGAGATTTAAAGATTTGTCGAAGCTCTCTTTCCCAAACTAAATATTCTTCTTCAATTAAATAATCCTACTTGCTTGAGTTTTGACTGTTAATCTAACTTCTTAGCAGCAATGACAAAATGTATGAACTATACCTTGTTGAGTTTTATAGTTCTTTGTATAGGGATACTCCCTCCGCTCTGTATAACATGACATTCCGCCATGGCGTATTAACGGTATTTAAAAATCAAGTAGAAGAAGAGGATAATGAAGAAGGTTTTTGTAAAAATGGCTTTTGAGTCATACCGTATTTATTCCCAAGGTGATAACATTGTTGAAACTCCGAAGTTAATTTTATTATGACTAGCATATAGATTGTTATAAACTATTCTTCCCTTTTTTAAATCGTGATCCTTCCACAGAAAGAAAGTGCAGAATTCCGAAGAGAACTCCACAAATGCCGGCTATTGATTGCTAACGGCCAATAAACACATTTGTAACAGTCTTTTTAAATTTTAAGAATGTAACTCTATTTTCGTACTAAATCCAGACTTGAATACCGCCTAGGCCACTAAGGTCTCAGATTTTAGTGGCGCCCAATACCTTTAAGTACTGTAATTTAAAATTTAGAGGGCTTCAAATCATCCTGTAATTCCTCACAGTTAATGGCTCCCGAAAGTCCCAAATGGTTAGTATGCCGGAACTTTACCAATTTTATCTCTGACGCTGTTTTGGTGCCCGCTCGCACCTATCTTCTTCTTGCTAACCCCTCTGATCTGAATTAGATTAGATCCACAACTTCTAATATGAAATTAGGCGTCTTCAGCAGATCTTCATGCACCAAGGCAACGCAACTAAGTAGATGTACACTTGTGCTTGACACTTATACCCTACCTGACCTGTAATTCCTCATAACATTTCGTTTTGTTAAAGAAGGGAAAATGAGCCTGAGGGTAACTTAAAAAAAAACGCTGTGTCTAGAGACCCCAAACTATTCTTAATTGGGCGTATCACTCGTTCTTTGCTTCATGTAACTCGAAATGTGATGAAGTGCCTCTCAAATCTCATACATTTTTAGGCATCTAGCAACCATACTCTATGTGGGTTACAAGAAGTTTACTTAATTAGAGAACTTTTTCTCTTAATTAAAGAACACTTTGTAATTCCGTTTATATAATTGGCGTTTCCTGAAGAATTAACCATAGAAGAATTAAAGAGTGACATCTTAGTTTTGCTTAAAAGCCAGACTGTTAGTAAAACTTTGCAAAAGTAAATCATATTATCTTTGGAACATTCAGCTACAGCTGGACGTGGACATAACAGAGAAACGTTTCAAATGACTTCAGTTAATTGAAGTTGCTTGAAAAATGTGGAATTAATTTTGGTCTGGCACACTTCTCGGCTTCCTAACCGATCAGATGGGGTTGGATTATCAAATTAAGACTGCGTCCGAAGCGCCAGAGAAATCTTCGCGCTAGAAATTTGAGTTAGAATGTCACGACAAATTTGCCCGGCAAAAGGGGCCCGCGATAAGACCCTGGATGGCCATCGCTCCATTGTTTTCCCTCCGGAATGATGAACGAGCCCGATTTTAACAGAATATCGATTTCACACTCGGCCGAGCGCATTGCGACTCCCTGGTCCGTGGACCGGTTCGGGAATTATAACGCGCATGAATTTTTAATTATCAAAACTTTCCAGAGTAACCTCCCGCCCTTGTCACTCCACCGTCCCCCCTCCGTCCATTAATAGGTAAAACTCGACGGTCACTCTACCCACCCTGTACCTCAATCCAATCCCTTCTGCTCCCCGAAGAGGAAAGGTGGGAGTGTGGGAGAGCGCAATAAAAGGGAGGAGGACAGCGTCCGTAATGAGAAAATTTTCGTTGTCAAGATCTCCGAAGGAAAAGTGGGGGAGGGAGTTCACATTCGGCTCGCTAGCAAAGCAAGCACACAGATATAAATCTGCCTTTCCAGATTATTCACAAATGACGGCTGGGGACACAGCACGTATTGTTTTAATAACTTGCTCACTGTGGCAGAAAAGATTCTACTGGAAACGACACCAATCATATATACATACATATATATATATATATATATATATGCACACACACACAAGTACGCTCACACATGTGAATGTATGGATGTATAAGTATGCGTGTATATATATATATATATATATTTATTATTTGTAGATAGTGGAAATTACCGTTCATCTGAGTAAACGGTGTGTCGCCAGCCCAAGCGGAACGAAGTCTTCAAGTTATCCATCACAATTTTGGCCATGCATGGTATGTCAGGGAGTTTCTGAAGTCTGCATAAATTCTGGATACTACAATGTTGTCTTCTGCCATGGTGCCAATTTAGCTATCAAAACGCTCATATAAAGAAAAATGCATGTATTTTATAAAAGATATTTACTTTTTTTTTTAAATCAATAAGTGAAATTGGGAAAAAAAAATAAAATAAAAAAAAGCTTTGTTTAACTATGTGCTCAATATCCTCTCTTTTTATGTACGTGGAACCTTTTGAAAGGTACAAGAACGCGCAAAAGACGCAATGAAAATTTCATTTTCAATTTCATATTTAAACTTATCAAATAGATATTACTTTCAGATCAGAACCTATCGGGGCTATTACCCCGTTCCTAGTTTTTTATTTTTTTGCTGCATATTGTAAGTTTATGCCTGTTTCAAAAATGACAAAGTTTATCGTATGAGTGAGTAAATATATTACATATTTAACATTTCGAATGGATTACATTTCATGGATTCAATGTTAAACATACTAGTAAAAGTTGTTGTAATGTGTATTAAAATTTGGTTGCTTAATTGATGAAACAAAACATGTGAGAGCTGTCTGACTGAGAGAAGAATACATTCATAAAAGGTTTTTGAAGGAAAACTGGCTTGTATTTGAGTTGCACATGGAAAAATCACACATACACTCAACAACAACAACAATTAAAAAAAAAAAAAAAAAAAAAAAAAAACGCAAACAAGTCTGCGTCCAGGATATCAAGTCTAGCAGGAGTTATCAATATTTAGGAATCTTATCGTACTGAAGGGCATACATCTGACTTATCCTAATGGGGCATTTCCTTCGCCTACTGATGGGCCAATATGTTGAGAAAAATAAATAGTTTAAAAGTTATTGTTTTCTGTTGAAATAACTATTATTTAAAGGTCGTAATCTTTTATTAAATGTAGTTTTAATGGGATAAGAAAAACTGCATGCAGCAATTTCAAATGGTAGAAAAACTGATATGGGTTCTTGCTGATGTCTCAGCGTTATTGCCGTTTTGATATCAAGTTTTTGCCTTGAAACAAACTTCAAAATATAATCTGCTAAGGTAGTTTGATGGTATTTGGCCAACATTTTCTATTGATTATCTTTTGTGCACTTCTGTGAAGTAGCAGCGTTCGGCAAAGTGATTATAGTACCATATACCAAGCTAATCATACATTCCGATCACTTTGATTAAATATTAGTATATGGGCACTTCACAACTATTTGCCACCGAGGTTAGAAATTAGCAATAATTTATTTCCACGTGAACTATTAATGTGCATATATCATAGAGATGGCGGGCAGACAAATCGCAAACAAAAAAATAAAATAAAATAAACTGAAAAGCTTTCAGATATTACACCCAAAAGGGCGGTTTTTTCCCCCATTTACATCCCCATACGCGTTTCGGGAGCATTTCGGCTAACGCCCCTTTGGGCTAAAAATATTTAAAAACAGCATATTTTTAGAATTTCTGACAGACAGTCTTGCGAGCTGGACATAAAATGTTTTATTTCGTATGGTGTTGTCACTGCTCGCTTGCTTGCGAAATGGTTTAGCTTTTTGGTCAAAAATTCGTTAAAGTTTTACAAAATATGAAGTCGGTAATAAAATAAATTCCAAATTCGGGCTTCCAAGTGCCCGTGTTTGGATGGACTACGTTATAAGTCTGATGACTCTGGTTACCTTTTTTTTTCCACAGTGCGGGAAACATACATACATTCATGCAGGCTCTTGATTATTAAATTTTTTAAATATAATAAAGGGCGATAATATTTGGGGGGCAAAAATTTGAAAAGTGTTACGCCGTTTATAGTAATTGAACGCAAAATGCTGTTTAGAGACTAATACCCCATTCGGGACCGACTTCCGTTTTAGGCTATAAATAAAGCTCGTTGCTAAGACGAGCAAAATATACATATAATCGCAGAGCTTTATAAACGATTTTATTTATTGCATTAATGATATAGTAAATGTTGTAATCGTAAAGTGATTCAACACATTTAGTGATTTGATGCAAAATGCCGTTTCGAGACTAATAGCCATTCTGACTAATTCCCTTTTTGGCTAATAAATCTGTCAACAGGTGCTGCAGAAGTTTTTGATGTATGCATTTTAGTAATTGCACAACGTTAGCAAGATTAAATCTTGATAATTTGATAACGTTTTGGTTTTCATCTTGGTAATATATAATTACATTTTAATAATTTCTACATGTCCTAGAAATTTCATCGTGTTAACAAATTACTTCAATGATGCACATGAAAAATTATAAAATGTTTTAAAAATCCATACCTTCTTGACAAACTTTCTTATAAAATGAAGAATAACAGTTTCCGGCAGAGCAAATGCTTGTATTCTGAAATGAAACGCAAGAATAAGTACCATGATGTGTTAAGATAATCTGTGAAACAACAGGATCCTCCTTATACATAAGATATGAAAAAAGAATGTTAGTTACGTTAAACAATATTAGTCTTGTTTCAAGTTTTTATATAAATCAAAGAGTGATTACCTTAAATGCTGTAGAAGCATTTAAGAATTAGGAAAAAAAATCATTAAATAATAGTTTTAAGTCACTTTATATTATATGCTGTGAAAATATTTCATAGAATTGTAATTGCACTAATTCAGGGGTATTTACAAACGCATTTATGCGGGCAACATTTTTTTTTAATCAGCGCATATTAACTGGGTTAAGTAATTCAATATGGCAAAACATACCTAAGGAAACGAATGCCTTCCTGGATGATTCTCTAAGGGACATTGGCTACTGTTCACGTTACACATGTGGGAAACAATGAAACTAACCATGCAGTTAGCCTTGTTCACCTGGGATCGAAAACAGGTTGAATTCCCAGTATTTAGCGGTTTTAACCACTCAGCTGCTGGTGGGGCCGATATCTGGACTAAAGTCAGAATATTTTCACTACTTAAATTCAGGTGTTAGTTTGCAATAAGTGCGTGAAAATTAGCAATTCAAATTTTTGATAATTTATCTTCTTAAGTATACTATCGTTGTAATGTTTTTATTTATTTTTTTTTATTGTAGGTGAACAATTGCTAACCAGTGCTTAATAAAGCTAGAATTAAGTCATTCTTGATTCTTATTACTATTTTATATTTTAGGCTTTGAAAAATATATCAATGAGCTAACAAATGGAATTGTAACAATAAATAAATATCACAGTACCTTTCCTTTTCAATTACTTTCTCATTAATTCATATTTTTCAGAACTCATTTATGTAGTATTGAAAATGCTTGCTGTTTAAATAGGTACGGCGAAGTGTATGAGGGTTATCTGAATAACGGATACTTTCCTGAGAGAATTTCTTGAGAAACACTAGTACATCTGCTCTATGAAACTCGATATAGCCAGTCCGTTCGCAAAGATTTAAACGGTGGTTGACTATAAGTGTTCAATAAATCTAATACACGACCACTGATGGGATGTGTAGCCCAGAAGAAACTGAGGACAGCATACTAACTATAATTTTAATATCTTAACCCTTTGCAGCACAGTGTGTCCGGTCTGGACACACCTAAAAATTTCTTTCTGTACGCACAGAAAAACTGAAGGAAAAAGGATTTATAGGTTACTCTGAACCTTCTTTATTTATAGTAGATGGCAGCTTAACACAAACCAGTCCATTTGCCATGTTTAGTTTTTTAAAACCCTCATTTTTTCAAAGAAATCTTCCAGATTTTTTTAGGGTATAAAAGGAATCGTTTGAAAAGAAATTTCTATGTTATTTTTTGGCTGTATGCTAATCTCCTTATTCTATATTAGTTTTAAAATTTTACCTTGAAATCTTGCTTAAAATCAAACGGCGAACCCTAGGTGTGCCCAGACCGGGCTCACCGATAATTTAGGACAACTGAGAGTCTGTATTCTTTGTTTCTCCCCATCTCATCGATCAGTTCATTGATAACAATGCTCGTTTCAGCACTCTTTTCGAAGCTCTATTCAATCAGTGTGCCACTTTGGGCACACCCACAGAATTAAAACCATAAGTGCTATCTTCACAAAATTTTACTTGTGTACTCCTCTAGGTCTAATTAGACTGCCTACCTCTTTATATATATATATATAATATATATTATAAATCAAAACTTCGACTTTAAAAGGTAGCGTGCCAGAAAGGGTTAATTAATGTATTACTTTGGCTTTAATGTAATTCAGTGTTTGAGATGAATTATAGATTAGTACATATGCTTTAATAAATAAATAGTATTCAGGAATTACATATTTTACTTAATGTATATTTATACAAATTATATGTATCTAGTAGACTTTGATTCTCAATCCTATTAAGAGTTATTTATTGAATCAACTTTCAGAAAAGACGTTGATTGCTTGTTTGGTTAAATATGGCAAAGAGCATTTAATCGGCATTTCTGTTCTGTGATTTAAGATAGTCTGCATATGTGGAGACTTTCTCAGTTAAAGTACTTATATTTATGTTGCACATAGAAAAAATAAACATCAACATATACATAATATTACATATGTTAACAGCAAAAGACTATACATATATAAATTTAGTATAAAGAACTTTTATTTTCTTGTAGTTTTTAAAAATTTAGCCATTGGCCTCTGAACATTTCCTTAATAAAATTTTGTTATATTTATTTGTCTCTCTTTCAAAATGCATACTGGCATTTTTTTTTCCAGGTGATAATTTTGTTTTCCTGTATAAGTTTAATGGTACTGGTATGTCGTGATTCATTTGAGAATGCATGAAGTATTTCGATTTACATTTCAGTGTTGATCCCCGAGTAAATCTGGTTAAGTTATAATCTTTTATGACACAAAAACATATGAACAATAAATTAAACTTGATGACTTTTTATGCATTAAAGTAGCTTACCTTAGATTGTCTTCTATGGCGTCTAATATTTATTAGTCTGTCTCATTAGACAGTTATTCAGAGAAATCTATACACTAACTATATGCAGTGCCTATGACAGGCGTCTAATTCCGCCGTGGTGCAGAGACCGCACCTGTAAAAGAAAAGGAGAAACCGTTAATATATTTTTTATATCATAGAATAGTTTTTTTAATACCTTATATGCATTCTGAAAATTAAGTTACTTTTATTATATTGATTGTGGGAGAGGGGAAAATTTTAAAGTAATGTACTTTTAATTTCTAATATGTTCTGGTTCTAAATTGCAATCAGTGCCTTATTAAAAGGATTGCAGTTTTAAAATCTTGGCGATAATGCATACAATAAAAATTAGTTTGCTGTGTCCCTAAGCACCAGTATGTAAAAACAGTAAAGCTTTGTTTGATTATAATTAATTGCCTATGTACCTAAACAACATATATGGATTCATCATGTGTATTGATGGATGTATATATTTAGCAACCTGTTATCAAGCACATAAACTTCTTAAGAAAGGAAATGTTGTTGAGTCAAAGTTTGGTATTTAATGGGTTAAGTTATCATCAAATTTTTAATATGCCATCAAGTTCATATATTATTTAGGAGATAAATTTATCAAATTAAGAAAATATTGTAAAGTTTTATTATTTTTTCCTCCTTGAGGTTGAAATTGTCGCAAGATGACTTTACGGATATTTCTGTCTACAGGAAGGATATTTCTTTGTTAGGAAACGTATTGAAGTGTTACTTTAATAAATTTTCCAATGATATGAGTAAGTTTATCAATATAGCTTTTGTCTAAAATTAAACAAAAATATATACTCCTGTTTTTAAAGTTTTCACTTGAAAGTCTTCACAAAGTTGATCATTTTAATTTAACAGCACGGGAGAGAATTTAGGTAAGGTCATGTTTCTTGTGGCTGTAAATGGAAAAAAACATTCCCTCATGACCAGGGGCGTAGCTAGAGTTTCCAGCGCCCGGGGACAATTTAAGAATTTGCGCCCTCTTTTTGCGTGCCAAAAGTGGAAAATATTTCATTAAAAATTTCGTAGCATCAATTTGGCGCCCCTTGGATGCTGCGCCCGGGGACAGATGTTCCCCCTTGCCCCACCCTAGCTACGCCACTGCTCATGACAAATCACCTGCATGATAGGTAAAGATGATTTATACATAAAATTATTTAACATGCTGTATTGTTACTACTGGTGTTCAAGATGTTTGCCCTGCGACTGATGCAAACTCATCTTGATTATTCAGGGTCCTGTCCCCAAATGAGAACTTTCGACAAGGTATGCAAAACGACATAGCTTTGTCGAAATCCCCCTAACCTCGGATTCTGCATAATAGTCTAGCTAATTTTACAATGCAATACTACGTTCCAGGCGCCTTGCCTTACCGCTGATTATTTTTGAAAAGAGGCCATCAAAATTTATAAGCTTGGAAATCTCTGTAATGCAGCTACGAATTTGCAACTCAGAAAGTTAAGCCTTCATGATTTTTAGTTTGAAAAATTCTTACTCTGCTATCCCATCCAGGAATTTACTTCAGTAACTATTTTCAGAATGACTCTTCCGATATTTATGTTTATCAGGTTCCTTAAGAGTTAGTCCCATGCTTAATCATAATAAGTGTTTGAAAAATAATCGAAGAACATTGGATTTATGTATTTAAGTTCATTCTTCAATCTTAATATTGGGATGAGAGCCAATAGCCTGAATCTAACGTCCATCCTCAAACAATACTTTCTTTTCCAGTTGATATATATATATATATAGAGAGAGAGAGAGAGAGAGGATATCCTCAGCTGTTTACCATGTCTACGACGTTCCTGTCGAAGAACCTCGAGCAATGGATGTAGACATCTTTTGACTGACATAGACCAATGGAATTGGCCTGTTTTCGACGGTCCTGATTGCCTGTCTGCTACTGATATGTGGCAATAATTTGTTTAAAATTTTTATTTCATTTTCATTATCGAAAGGATTTTGAATAAAAAGACATCCACTCAGATGTGTTGCAAGACAAAATAAAAGACCGACTCACCGTTTTCCGCAAGAGATGCCAAATTTTGAATTGCAATATTTAAGATCCGCTTTTGCTTAAAATCGTTTGAAATCTGCTAAAGGGGCACCTCCAGCATATCGTCTGCGGAAAAGAGCTATGTGTTCTTGACAGTGCGCGAGGAGGAGCCAAACGCGCGCGAAACTTTCTCATCAAGCTCCTCATTTCGCGTGGTGGGCGGGTAAAGGTAGGGGGTAAGGGGCGCGTGTGAAGCGTTTGGGAGCGGCGAGGGAAGGGGGGATTGTTAGCTTCCACAACCAGCAGATGGAAATTAATAATTTTATAATATCCATTCGTCACTTACCAAGCGCCTAACGTTATTTTAATTTGATTTTAATCTGACTTTGTTGCCACTCGCAAATTAAATTTATGGATAATGCTGCTTTAATTACTTAATATTAAAATCTCTTACTCTTCTCTTCCTCTCCCCCACGTCTTTTTTCGTTTTGTTTTTGGCGCACGCTTCTCTTTCTCTCGTTCTCTCTCTTATTCGCAATCTGGCGCGCAGAGGTTTTCACATCATAATAATAATGCTTTCCCTCCGTGCGTTCAAACTATTTTCTTTTCTATCTCTCTTTCCTTCGCTTCATCTTGGCATCATATATATATATATATATATGTATGTGTGTGCGTATGTGTGTGTGCATGTGTATATGTATATATATTCACAACAAGAGCCCCTCTTTCGTATTGTGTTGACTATGCCTTTAGTTGCGAAAAGGGCTAGTGGGGGCCTTGATTATTGTGCTATTTTTCACCGGGTTGGGTTTAATTTAATTTAGCCGCCATTAGAGCGGTTGGTTGATTAACTTTAATTTCGTTCGCTCACCCCCTCCACTCTTGCTTTTCCCTCTTCTCTTTTCCCGCCGTTTCTTTTTACGTTGTTGGGGGTAGGCTAATTGATGAAATCAATACCGTTTAATTGCGAACGATGTTAATTTCGTGCGGAATTTATTGTTTACGGTAGAGGAAGGAAGGGATATAAATGATGGCGTAAAAGTTTTCTTTTATGAATTAATACAAATAACCAATTCACTAATGCGTAATTTTCGGCAGGCAAAAGAGTGAGAGAGAGAGAGGGGCTATTATAAATTAGAAAACTGGCGAGGAAAATCACGTTAATTAATATTACCGTCGGAAAGTTTTGCAGCACTGCAAAACTTTGGCGTTTGATTTAATTTGGCGACTTAGTAATACAATTTGAAGTAATTTGCTAAAGCTCTCGGTAAAAGTTTTTTTTTTTTTTCTTATTATCCATATTCTCGTTCGGTTCCCTACTCTTCGCTTCTGACCCCCCCTTCGCCATCACTTGCCTCACCACCACACACTCAACTGCACACTCTATTTTTCTCCTTTGTTTTGTCTCCCAAGATTATTCATGTTGAAAAGAATTGGCTCGCAGTTAGAAGTATCGCGTCTTATTATTTTCCAGCAATAATTTTTGACGTCGCAGGCGTTGAGTTAAAGTTAAATAACAGCTTTTCAATGAGATTAAGTAGACCTTTTGTTAGAAGCCCGTCTCCTTTTCTGATTTAGATGTGTTTTGCATCTGGATTAACATTTCAAGAGTTTTCTCACAGACTTTCCTTCCCTAATATGCAGTTTAACGAGAAAATCGGTGGCAAAATTTCTACTCCCCTCTTTTAATACTTTTTTGTTGCCGAACCGTTGTTATTTTGTTTCTCTTTTTCTGCTTTTGCTTTCTTATTTTCCTTCTCATCCTTTGGTTAGAACGGCTTTTATTGTATTTCGCGAAACTTACCTCTCCAAATCTGAACCCTTTTCCCATTTACCATTTAATCAACATGCGGGTTAGAAATGAAAAGAGGTTACAAAGAGGTTTTAGTTTTCATTTCGAAGGCACGAAATCTTTCCGGTGAGAGAAAGAGCGAGAATTTTCTTCTTTCATTTCTGGTATATTTCTTTTCTCTTTTAAAACTTTGCAAGCTCTTTGACATAAGTTATTAACGATTCGATCTTCCCACTGCTTTTTTTTTTTTTTTTTTTCAACTTTTCTTTTTTTTTTCCACTTTTCGCTCCCCAATTATGGGTTCGTTTTCATCGGTAATATTTTAATGAAAAGATTTATTTTATTTCATTTGCGCGTAAACGGCGTTATAGGAATAATCGAGGGGAAAAAATAAGAAAAGGAAAAGGTCTATGTTGAGTCTTTTCGTGTCTTCATTGTCGTAGTCTGGAATATGAAGAATTGCTTTTTATCAGTGTTAAAACATCGTTCCTTAATGTTGAGATCGACAAAGCGATGCTGGAGAATTGTAGCAAGTGTTTTTACGGAAAAAAATTGAATTAGGAAATATTTTTTGCTTTTCCTGACTTGTTGCTTTTTGGTATATTCCTTTCAGTTTCTTCGGAATTTCTTAATCGCCTTTGAAAAGATGGCGATAGTCATTTAAGCACTCTGTGCAGCTGCCATTTTGTTTATGTAAATTATTATCATTATTCTGAATTCTTATTATCATCGCGTATGAATGTTATTAAATTCTGAATTTTGCTTCTTGCTGGCCTTTATAAGGCATACTTAAAAGAAATAAATTTAATTGATTAATAAATTTCAAATCCATGTGGTGATTAACTGTTGTACGTTTTATTTGATGTGAAAATAAATTTATTACCTTAAGTTTGGATCCACTAATATAAATCTATTAATGATGTGCTAATTTGTCACAAACAAATAGATTTCAGCATGAAGTTTTAATTAATCCGTTGTTGATTGCATTTTAGGAGGAAATAGCGTGGGTGTACGAATATTTTTGTAATTTCTTTTAGAATTCCTAAAAATAATAACTAAAACTTTTAACTAATCCACATAAATGTTACTTGCTTTCCTTTATTTTTTATTTATTTATTTTTTATTTTATTTATTTATTTTAACTAATTGTCATAAATTTTAGTGAGAATTTTCAGTTTTTCGTCGGGAATGTACCGTATTCTTACGAATTTCTTATGATACGAATGAATTTTACTTATTTGTTTTCTTAAATTTTCACCAGCTAAACATAACATTTTTCGATTTCTTTTCAATTGGATAAGCCT